CTCCTCGAACTGGGTGTACCGAATCGTTTCGAACTGTGTAATGTAGACGTCGAGACTCTAAGGAAGGTCCTGACCCTCATGAACATCACCTTAAGGTGAAGTGAAACGCGTTCAGGAACTCGATCGTCATCGGTAAACAAATTTTTCTAAATAGCTACATTACCAACGTTCATTTTGATATGAGTCATTACTCTCTGACTTATCTACCTTCCTCTCATCCGGGGTCAATCTTCGAGATGCCCGATTTTCTTTCATTTTTTCAGTCGCCACATTTCGTGGCAAAGCCAGCTCGGTAGAATGTCCCGATCGAATTTCTTGGAAACTGATTGATTCTTTCATCGTTTTTTTTTTTTTGCACGAGTCCTTGTACATTGCTTTGTTAAGGGGATGTGAAAGTGGCATCTGAAGAACCAATGTTCATGAAACTTTTCTCCGAACAGGGTGTATCGAATCGGCTCGAACTCTGTAATATGAACATCGAGACTGTAAGTCCCTCGTGAACATCACCTTAAGGTGAAGTGAAACGCGTATAGGAACTTGAACGACATCGCGAAACAAATTTTTTCGAAATAGCTACGTTACCAACGTTCATGTTTATGTTGAGTCGTTACTCTGATTTATCTACCTTCCTCTCATCCGGGGTCAATCTTCGAGATGCCCAATTTTCTTATCAAATAAATTGTTATAAAATTTAAATTTCATGATGGTCGGGACAATTGTACGACAATTTAGAACACTCTGGTAATCGATCAACGCGCATTTGAACGGGATAAAGGCAAAAAAAGTGTTTTATGCGCTTCTATGCCAAAACGATGGGAATACGAGATCTCGGAGTGAAACTTTAATTGACCTGGAAATCACAGATGGCGCAGGGGGTCCCTCTGCAGTCAATTAGGCCCCCAGAAAGCATGAATCCAGAGGATTTCTTGAATTTTACTTCGATTTCTTTATAATAATTGTTCCAAAACGACAGGTGAAGTATGCCATTTAGTTATAGTACTCAATATAATTCGTCACAGCTGTCAATATAAAAACCAACGCCGGCAACGAGGGTATTTTAAAAAATCTTTTTTACCGACGTCGATAAAGTTCGTCGACTTGTTTTCACTTTAAACATTAAACGTGGGACGAAGATTTAGAGATAATTAGAATATCATCGTTTCATCCTCTAAAGAAGAAAAAAATCACATAAAGTTCTTCAGCAAGACCCAAGAAATAACATTCAACGATCGTTAAGGACAACACCTCGAGTTTCGGACGTCTGTCACCCGGTAGACCAAATATTCTCCCTTTCCCTCGACTTGGGCCATTTTTTGAAAGGGTTTTTTTCCTCCACAATGACCCTTTACTCGGATGCTGCGTTACCCCTTTTCTTTTTTTCGAATCTCTCAGCAACTACAGAGATGCTTTTTGTACGGCAGAGACCCTTTTTTGCCTCAATTCAGGGTTCATTAAGAAGAGCGAGTTACTTTGGGCCCGAGATCAGCAGGTCCCAGGAAGTGTCGTTGACCCCTTCAGTGTCAAAACTGTGTACACATGACGTATTGAAAAAGGAAGAAGGAAACGACGGCCCCAATATTGCCCTCCCGATTCTGGCCCTGTTGGAAGCCGCACATTTTGTGCGCAACTTCTAGATTCCTTCTTGTAAAGCCATCTAGTCCAAATTCTCAGAGAAAATGAGTACACCTATAATACGTTTTTTTAATTGATACGTTTACTGCCGTAGTCATTAGTCATTACGATACATTTATATTTATTGGAAACGTATTTACACTTTGCACTCGAGGCCTTTTTCGCTCGGAGGAGCCAGCAACTCGAGACGATTTTCCGCATACTTGGTGAATTTCATCCAGCTAACTTAAAATAATTTCACGTACAAATAAACTTATAAAACTGTTATATTTGATTATTATCACTAGTCTGACTCCTGATGTTCACGTTTAGTCCGAAAGTTTTGTTACGAAACGATCTCGTCGAAGCACAACAAGGGGTTGATTAAGCTACTGTACGTAATTATTTTCGCCGCCATATTTGATTCACATCCAACTACAGAAATTAAAGGGAGACTTAAAGGCATCGCGAAGAGACGTCGAGCGTTCTTTCTTGCCATAAGCTAAGTGCCGATTCTGGCTTTTGTTCATGTACAACCATCGAGTCCAGATTCTCAGAGAAAATGAGTACACCTGTAATACGCTTTCTTTTTATTGACACGTTGACTGCCGTAGTCATTAGTCGTTACGATACGTTTATATTTATTGGAAACGTATTTACACTTTGCACTCGAGGCCTTTTTCGCTCGGACGAGCCACCAACTCGAGACGATTTTCCGCATACTTGGTGAATTTCATCCAGCTAACTTGAAATAATTTCACGTACAAATAAACTTATGAAACTATTATATTTTAATATTATCACTAGTCTGACTCCTGATGTTCGCGTTTAGTCCGAATGTTTTGTCACGAAACGATCTCGTCGAAGCACAACAAAGGGTTGATTAAGCTACTGTACGTAATTATTTTCGCCGCCATATTTGATTCACATCCAACTACCAGGAATTAAGGTGAAGTGAAACATCCTTCAAATCAGTCGATTTGAATACAACACTTTTTTTTAAGGGTATTAGACCAAACTGTCCGAAACTTTGACACATCACTCCTGATCATCTAAGAATTGTCCTGACACATTCAAAATTTGGATTTTTCAAAACAATTTTTTAACTCAGTCATGATCAGAACCAAAATGGCGTCGAGCTCTCATATTTCGATCAATATACAATTATAGAAGGCTCTGATATGAGAATCGAAAGGGTCAGGACAGTTTTACGACAATTTAGAACACTCTGGTAATCGATAAACTCGCATTTGAACGGGATAAAGACAAAAAAAGTGTTGTATGCGCTTCTATGCTAAAACGATGGGAATACGAGGTCTCGGAGTGAAAATTGAATTGACCTGAAAATCACAGATGGCGCAGGGTGTCCCTTTGCAGTCAATTAGGGCCCCAGAAAGCACGAATCCAGAGGATTTCTGGTGTTTTACTTCGATTTCTTTATAATTATTGTACGAAAACGACAGGTGGAGTATACCACTTAATGCATTACCCAACATAATTCGACACAGCTGTCAATATAAGAACGAACATCGGCAACGTAGGTATTTAGAAAAATCTTCTTTATCGACGTCGATCAAGTTCCTCAACGTGTTTCACTTCACCTTAATTTTATAAAATAAACCCATCTTTTTGATCCAGTATCTTAACAGCGACACTTACTCTGTGATTGACGAGTATACTCGTCATCCCTAGATTTCGGCGACACATATAGGTGCTTGCTCGCAAAAGGGGGCGCCACAGCTAACTGGTTAATGAGAATCAAAAGGGATAGGAGCGATAAGTGTCGAAAGCCATCCGACTGGTTTCCTGGGCACCTCGTTAGGGACCTGGGGCGATCGCTCGGGAACCACGTGGGGAGGTTCCTGGGTTATATGGATCACACGTGGGATACGTGGGATATGTGGGATATCTCGGAAGACGCGTGGGAAGACGGTCTTCCCGGCCGTCGACAGCTGTTCACACATGTCCCGTGTAACGCACGTCGCTAAGGCTGCTTCTGCCGATTCCACAAGAAAAACAAACACCGAGACTCCGCAGCCGTTACAACACCCCTCCGAATTATTTCGGTTATCCGAGTCCGCGCGACCACCCTCTATGCAATCCGCCGTGTCCCGTCATCCCCTTGATTTCGAGCTAATTCTTCAAGTCGCGTGGAACATTATTTTCCCCTTGCTTTCTCCTCCGGAGAAATTAAGGTGAAGTGAAATCCCTCGGAAATCAGTCGATTCGAATGAGACACTTTTTTTAAAGGGTATTGGATAGAATCTCTATACACTCCGAGCTAATTCTTCAAGTCGCATGGAACATTATTTTTTCCTTGCTTTCTCCTTTGGAGAAATTATGGCGAAGGGAAACCCCCCTGAAATTAGTTGATTAGAATAAGACACTTTTTTTAAAGGGTATTGGATAGAATCTCTAAGCCATCCGCGGTGTCCCATCATCTCCTTGATTTCGAGCTAATTCTTCAAGTCGCATGGAACATTATTTTCCCATCATTATTTTCTCCTCTAAATTCCAACTTGATAAAACTGTTAATTTCGTCCATACTCTGATTTTTTTATTTACTTCCTCGTTGGCTGGGGACCATACATCATGATTTTTTACCACTGTGTAAAATATGATATATTACCAGCCACCGTATGAAGTATAATATACTTATAGTGGACATTCAAATTAGGATATGAGTATAGAAAACTTACATTATCTATGGTACGCATAATAAAAATTCAGTACATATATCATTATGAAATCATCGTTCTGAAATTAACTTTTCTTTACAAATACGTATGATTATGTATATACCATCTATTATAGATATTTACTATATATATATTACGTACCCTGTCCGGATATCTAGCCTTTCAGTGGATCTACAATAGAGTTCATAGATATCTATTTATACTTTACATATGTTCAATAAACATTTATATACGATTAATTTAGGGATTTTCCGCGGTGCCTGGGAAATACAACGTTACATCTAATTATTTCTTTCCGTGTTTTTATTCGAGAAGGGGAGGAATATCCTCCCGACAAGATTAAAGAGCGCTTCCATAAAGTGTTATAAATGTAATTTTTTGTCCAAATACGTATGAATATCTATGGACCATCTATTGTAGATATCTACGATATAAATATTACATACCCTGTCCGGACATCTAGCGTTTGAGTGGATCTACAATAGAGTTCATAGATATCTATTTACACCTTACATACGTTCAATAAACATTTATATACGATTAATTGACGGATATTCCACATCCCACGGTGCCTGGATTGTGGCTAATCTGCACTATACGGCAATGATTGCAATGACGATCCCTGCACTTCCTAAATAATTGAATGATGCGAACTTTAACTAATTTTTGGAACGTTTATTTTAATTGTAGATCGACACACCTTTGGAGAGCGAAGCGGACATGGAGTCGGATTCGTTGAACAACGATTCCGCGTCTCCGGAAAAAGGTTTCAAAGGTGAGTCCAACGATACTTCCTTTGACTTGAACGATCGCCTAAGTGGAGGCTAGGGAATACTGCGTTTATTAAAAAATGGCAGGCCTAGTGCAATAAACTTCGAGGTGATCTGCATAGGGGAGCTTCGAGCACTGGAGTTTCCAGAAAGCGACGGGCTCGGAATTAACGCTGCATATAAGTTATCTCGGCCGCCCTTTTCCTGCCGGGCTGAAAGCAATCCACTTAAGAGATCCCGGGAAGCATCCGGGATTGGGCAGGGGTGCCATCGGGTTTTGTTCCCGAACAAAAATCTGACAAATATGCCGCGATTTGCCGAGAGGGCCGGGAGGTGGAAGCAGCGCCCCCTCGCGTCGCGAAAGTGGCGCCCTCTTCGAGCGGCGAAGGGTCGAAGAGGAGGCGCAAGAGGCCGACTCCTTAAATTACTTAGCCGGGGAACAAAACGTAACAAATGACGGTGAATCGAGCCACTTTGGGGATATTGTCCCGATATTGATACGTCATATTAGCGGCTTTCACCCGGTACCACTTTGGATTCGATCGGAGAGAAAGAGACATCCACTCTAGGGTGTTCCGTCTCGAGACTTTGGGCATCAAAAGAAACGCGCGGATGTGCACGATCAAGGTGAAGTGAAACCCCCTTCAAATCAGTCGATTCGAATACCACACTTTTTTTTAAGGGTATTAGACCAAACTGCCCGAAACTTTGACACATTACTCCTGATCGTCTAAGAATTGTCTTGACACATTCAAAATTTGGATTTTTGGAAATATTTTTTAACAGCCCGGACCAGAACCGAAATGCCGTCGAGCTCTCATATTTCGATCAATGTAGAATTATCGAAGCCTCCGATATGAGAAACGAAAGGGTCAGGACAATGTTACGACAATTTAGAACACTGGTAATCGATAAACTCGCATTTGAACGGGATAAAGGCAAAAAAAGTGTTGTATGCGCTTCTATGCTAAATCGATGGGAATACGACGTCTCGGAGTGAAAATTTAGTTGACCTGGAAATCACAGATGGCGCAGGGGGTCCCTCTGCAGTCTATTAGGGCCCCAGAAAGCATGAATCCAAAGAATTTCTGGAGTTTTACTTCGATTTCTTGATATTTATTGTACGAAAACAACAGGTGTAGTATGCCATTTAGTACAATATCCAATATAATTCGACACATCTGTCAATATAAAAACGAACGTCGGCAACGGAGGCATTTAAAAAATTCTTTATCGACGTCGGTCAAGTTCCTCGACGTGTTTCACTTCACCTTAAAATTGCCTCGCGTTCGTATGTTATATGTAATCTCTTTTTTGTTAGAACTCAGATTCGACTCACATTTCGATCGATATCCAATTATTGAAGGCTCTAATATGAGAAACAGAAGTGTCAGGACAATTGTACAACAATTTAGAACACTTTGATAATTGATAAAATCGCATATAAACGGATAAAGGCTAAAAAACTGTCTTATGCGCTGCTATGCTAAAACGATGGAGAAACGAGGTCTCGGAGTGAAAATTTAGTTGACCTGGAAATCACAGATGGCGCAGGGTGTCTCTCTGCAGTCAATTAGGGCCCCAGAAAGCATGAATCCAGAGGATTTCTGGAGTTTTACATCGATTTCTTGATATCTATTGTACGAAAACGGCAGGTGGAGTATGCCATTTGGTACAATACCCAATATAATTCGACCCAGCTGTAAATATAAAAACGAACGTCGGCAACGTAGGCATGTAAAAAAATATTTATCGACGTCGATTAAGTTCCTCGACGTGTTTCACTTCACCTTAAGGTTCCAATTCGTCGACAAAGTTAGAAGCGGAGGTAAGTTTAAATTCCACTGCAACCATATAACAGAAATCGACGTCCGTTTGATAAGCGCTTCGCAAATTATTAAGGTGATATGAAAGAGTCAGCCTATACATATCTGAGAAATCAAATCGTTGGGAAAAATATTCCCCGAATGAAGGGCACCGATTCGTTTCCAATTTTACCATGGGAATATGGAGGCCCTAAAGTAGGTCCTGAAACTCACGAAATTTCATTTTTCATAAAAAATTTATTTACTTATCATGGACTGGAACCAACATGACGTGGTCCGGGCACGTTTTCGATGTTTTACGCTTCTTGGGGGCTTAGAATCGAAAATGAAGAGTTTCAGGACCTAGCTCGAACAATTCAGAATACCGTAGAAATGGAATATTATAGAGTCAGACGGTAAGATGTGGTAAATATAAATATAAGTTTTATAAATATTTTGACGCTGTATATATAGAATGACCCTTTCATATCACCTTAAGATCGGAAACACCTGTAGCTCTAGACGCCATCTTGGATTTGCGGGAGAAGGCAAACTTTAGCAGCAACATCGGCGTTGAACTTGAGCTCCTTGCAAGCAATTTTCGAAATTGTAGGATCGAAAGATTTGACATCATACTACTTGCAAACATATTTATCCTTTTCCTCCCACGGATAAAAAACAATGGTTAGGAAAACCATAAGTGCGGTAAAACAAAACTATTGCAAGGCAACATACGGGACAACCTTGGGAGAAGGTGCATTAACCAGCGTAACATAGTAAAAAGAACATTATAATAATTCAATTATTATGATTACGAACGCTGTACTTATGTTTCAGTCAGGATTCTCATACATTTCTACCTGAAGTAGTAAAATATCAGTTGATGCTGAAAAATGTGATCTCTCGACGATCACTACCCTTTTCCCTCTTCGTTGGGAAGGAGTAGAGTCCTTGTAACTTAAACGTAAGGAATAGCGACGGATCTTATATGCAAATGAGCAGTCTGCATCTCCTTCGAGAAGTTTTGCCACCTTGCGGCACTGTCGGAACTAAAGGGGCCAAACCATTGTTTCTGCAATCACATAGACAAGTTTATAATAACCTTGCAACGGGTAAAACCTTCCTATAATATGTGGTTACAGCTCCCAGGTAAACCTTCCATTTTCCTGTGCGCATTTGTAACCTCTTCATGCAGTTAATATTACCATTCCAACTGGTGATCCCTCCTGCACCTTTCAGGTGCAGCGCCATGGATACAGTACCTATTCGCAAGGTTACATTTCCCATTCCATGTGGTAAATTTCCTCATTTACACTGTTTTACGTCCCACAGTATTGTGATGGTCATAGCATATATATATCAGAAGTTCCTACTTCTACACGGGTCTTGGATAGCCCAGCGCTTACGCTCATCGCTCGTACCGCGTAGTCTCTGGGGTTCGAATCCCGCTCAGGAGAGATTTTTCGGTGTTTAAGGCAGGGTCAGCCTGGTAGCCCCACTGACGAGTCCACACAGGCAGACCTGGGACAAAACACGACAATGGGTACACACCAACACGCCTACAAACCCAAAAAGGTCGGAAGTAATGGGAGCAAACCATTGTTTCTGCAATCACATAGACAAGTTTATAATAACCTTGCAACGGGTAAAACCTTCCTATAATATGTGGCTACAGTTCCCATACAAACCTTTCATTTTCCTGTGCGCGTTTGTAACCTCTTCATGTAGTTAATATTACCATTACAAATGGTGATCCCTCCTGCACCATTCAGGTGCAACGACATGGACACAGTACCTATTCGCAAGGTTACATTTCCCATTCCATGTGGTAAATTTCCCCATTTACACTGTTTTACGTCCCACAGTATTGTGACGGTCATAACATATATATATCAGAAGTTCCTACTTCTACACGGGTCTTGGGTAGCCCAGCGGTTACGCTCATCGCTCGTACTGCGTAGTCTCTGGGGTTCGAATCCCGCTCAGGAGAGATTTTTCGGTGTTTAAGGCAGGGTCAGCCTGGTAGCCTTACTGACGAGTCCACACAGGCAGACCTGGGACAAAACACGACAATGGGTACACACCTACACGCCTACAAACCCAAAAAGGTCGGAACTAATGGGAGCAAACCATTGTTTCTGCAATCACATAGACAAGTTTATAATAACCTTGCAATGGGTAAAACCTTCCTATAATATGTGGCTACAGTTCCCAGACAAACCTTCCATTTTCCTGTGCGCGTTTGTAACCTCTCTATGTAGTTAATATTACCATTCCAACTGGTGAACCCTCCTGCACCTTTCAGGTGCAGCGCCATGGATACAGTACCTATTCGCAAGGTTACATTTTGAATTCCATGTGGTAAATTCCACCATTTATATGGTTTTGCTTCCCACAATATTTTAACCATATCCCTATAGTAATTGTAACCCAAATAATTTTTTTCCGTGTACGCGACCGTGGTGGACTTCTGGATTTCCCCGCAACATATAACTCATCCTTGAAGAGAAAGAAATCGAAAGGACCATTCCAGGGAGTCGTTCCCTTCGGAAGCGATCTCTTTATCGATTTCAGAAGGCGATATCCGGTTGAAGTTCGAAAAGGGGAGTGGGAAGGTGGACTCGGGAATCCGAGAGCGGAAGTTGAGACGGGACTCGCAGAGATATATCCACTCCCTCGGGGTGAACAAGAGTGGATATCCTTCTGCTTAAGAAAAGTTTTCGGAGGCGTTATTCCCTCCGAGGCTCTCTTATCCCTCTTTTGCCCACTAGTTTTCGACACCGCTCCCATCGGTCTCTCTCCTCCAAGTTTCGGGGTTATTAATGGCTCGGCGAGCTGAGTTCATTAGGACAAGCCAAAACTACCTTGTGTATGTACACGGCAATTTTCGACGAGCCTTCGCCAACAGGCCACGTCACGCGCAACGCCGCATTATATTTCACCCTAACCTGCTCTACACGGCATAAAAAGAATGGGGAGGATAACCACAATTGTGGTAATCGTAACCCTATTGCAAGGCAACATACGGGACAACCTTGGAATAACGTTACATTAACCAGCATCACATAGTAAAAAGAACATAGGAAGGGTTACGTTACCATTTAGTCAATGTAACTACAAGGAACGAATTATTCCAATATAGTTGTGAATATCCATTTAAATGTTACCATCGATATAAAAAGTCCAATTACCATGATTAC